CACACACCTGTGTAAAATATATATATATATATTTTACACAGGTGTGTGCGCTCACACACAATTTTTAAACAAAATACTTGACAATGTCAAGGTCTTATTTCTTCATCTTTATTTGAATTTGTTAGCTGCCAGACTCCTATTGGCTCTGTTTTCTTTCTGTTTCTAAGTGACACGTCTGAATAAACGAAAAGTTGATGGAGGGGAGAACGGCCTTCTTCTCAAATTGGGTTGATGCCAGAACGTGGCTATAATGAAAGGTGTTACTAAGAGGAATGTTTAACATCCCTGTCCCTGCCTTAGGTTTATCGGCAGCTGCTGGAATCGGTGTGGACGACCTTCGGCGCTTGTGTATCCTCAGGATGAGCTTCGTGAAAGGATGGGGGCCCGACTACCCGCGCCAGAGCATCAAAGAGACTCCATGCTGGATCGAAATCCATCTACATCGCGCCCTCCAGCTGCTCGATGAAGTTCTCCACACCATGCCGATTGCAGATCCCCAGCCCTTAGACTGAGACCGCACAGCTGTGAGCCACAACGGAGCGAGGAGGGTGGATTGTAAAAAATACCATTTTGTTTATTACGGGGAAGATATATTTTACTTCCATTCTGCTTAATCTCTTAACCAGGTTTTAAAGAGAAAATGTCTTTGCCACCTTGCTCTCAGCAGAAAGAAGCTGAACTTGTAACTCCAGATAGTTCACACCTTCAGACCTTGGGTGGGCTACTTGTGGAAAGCTGTCACCAGCCAGAAATTTTTTAGATGGTGATCGGGCAGGATCACCGCTGCGTCTGTTTCTTGGACATCTCATTGATTCGTGTGGGCTTCTTCTCAGAATTAATGGGGAGCTCACGCTGAACGATCCTATGCATTTCAGGGAGCCTGGAGGTAGTGGGGGGGCTCACTTATGCAGTCACCCAACTTGTCCTTGCATGAGTCCAGCCCAAATGAGCAAAATCATGTTGATTATTCTAAAGGGAGGATTCAGATGCTCTGCTCTAGTGGGCACTGGGGCATGTCTCATCAGGAGTTTTTTATGTAAAATTTTTATGTATGCCTATTATTTTAAAAATGCACTAAAACTGGGATGGGCTTCAGAGCTGGTATCCATTTTAAAGGCAACGTGAAACACACCAATGAAATTGTCTGCTAAATTCAGTAGCGAAACGTCTGCATTATTCTACATTCCCAACTGATTTTAACTTTTACCAGCACGGAACTTCTTAAATACACTTGAGCAATTAATTGGGACAGCGTGGATCTGCTTACTGAACTTGGCGTGCCATCTCAGACCTTCTTAAATCATGTTTATGGTTGTACCGCTGAAAATCCAGATTTTATATTTTTCAAAATTTCTACTCAGGGCAAGCTGGCAAACTTGTTTTTATACTTCTCGGTTATTTTAAGCTGTTTATCTCATCAACGATCTTATCTATTTGCATTGACTTTGTATAGAGAATTTCAAGTAGAAGTTGCAAATGTAATGGCTGTATGACAGATGCATTATGCTTCTATAGTTAATAAAACTATTAGAAAACTCTGCACTGATAAAAAGTGATGTACTTAAGCTGTGTGCCACCTTTTGAATCTGGAGCTCTCAATCGGTTTGCCTTTGGGAATTGAAACCAGCCACAGTGAGTTTTTCTTGCAGCATCTTATTTTTGGATGTTGGATTTATGGATGTTGCACATTTCTGCCGTGTTGTCTTCTCTAAGTAGTCCTTGACATACAAACATTCATTTAGCAACCACTTGAAGTTACAACCGCACTGGAAAGAAATGACTTACAATTAGCCTGCAGATTTTGCAGCATCCCTAAAGTCAAAATTTAGGCACGGGAGGTTTCTGTCCTCCCTGAGTCGCCTTA